CAAATAAAAATTACTTTCTTTACAATTTCTTTTAAAAACTTTCGAAATAGAAAAATGTCAATGTCCCATATAATGAAAAACCTCGTAACTGTCTCACAACTCAACTGCTAATGTCAACTTTATTATGAAATTCACAAAGACCAAAATTAAATTATATTCTATGTTTTTAAGACATTTTACTTAGTGAGAAAGGTAGCTAGAATACCTACTTAGATGTCCATCAGTATCAGAGGTGAATGGAGCACAAAGAAAATTATAAAAAAAAATGTTTTACGGTTTAAAAAAAAAATCGCGTACTTGAGTTGTGGGCTGTATTGTGTGAAGTAAAATCCAAATTAATATTATAAATACGAAAGTAACTCTGTCTGTCTTTTCTAAACTAAACTACTGAATCGATTTCTATGAAATTTGGTTCAGTCATAGTTTGGAACTCGAGAAAGGATAGTTTTTATACCAAAAATTTGCCGAAAGTCACTATTCCACAAATGGAGAATGGCGAATGAGTCGCTGGCAAAAGCTAGTGTTATCATAAAGCAAAAATAAACAAGCAGAAGACAATCACTATACATATTTAATACCGAGTACTGAGCATTAAAAAAAGGTTGATTACATTCTTTTTAACACCGTATGGACATAGACTGTCACAGACAATAATAAAATAATACAGAGAGCCTTTATATACCAAAAACATTGCGATTACTTATCGAAAAACCACAAAAACAATCCCTGCACTTGACGCAACTACCATTTAACAGTCAAGTGGCCATAAACTGCCATAAAGTAAACAAAACAACCGGCAATGACGGACGAAACACAATGTAACAAAACTAATTCATGCCAAGAACATGAAAAGCTTTAACCAAACAATTATTTAGAAAGGGAATAATAACCCTATGAATGAGAAACGTCTAGTCATTCTCAAAGAAAGGGCGTAGAATGGGCATAGACAAGGCTGTAAAAACCTCCACGTTGACACCTTTTGTTTGTCCGTTTGTCTATTGTTCTCAAGAGCTGGCCGCATTGTGTTTTCGTTTAAGAAAAATGGATGGTCTTGTTTTGAATTTCGAATAATTACTTGTGTTTTAAAATTTGAATTATACTGATTTTACGAATTTACAGGGTGTTTCTTAGATAATAAATAATTGGAAAATAGGGATTTAATGAAGACGGATGAGAAATAAATATTTTTTTTTTGTAATAATTGATTGATTTGTTCAAAAAATGCAAGTTATTAATAAAGTAAAAACAATAAATTTGACAACAACGGAACAAAAACCGGTACAAACCCGAACTTTCATTTTAATTGTAGCAACGTTTGATGAAAACTCAATTGAGTTTTAATTACTACCAAACCAATATAAATGGTGTGTTTACCTTGTTTTAAACTAAATAACTCGACAATATTTAGAAGCAGAGTGTATTCAATGTGACATATTTAAAAAAAGAACTTCAAAGTTATTAATAAACCTCCGATTTGTTTACATTAATATTTAGTAGTTTTCTTAAACTTTTAAACCTAGCTTAAACCTAGCTATACAAACTAAATTCGTATTCGAACTGTTTGTTATCCAAACCAATGATTTTAGTTCGGAACAAAATAATAAATCAAAAGGCTATCCAGTTTTCCTAGAATAAATAAACTGGAAAATTGTGAAGCGTACATATTCGTATACCTACCTACTTACTTAAAGTAAAATCGATTGCTATGAGTTTGTCGACATAAAAGCTTGTCAAACGGTTTGCGTTTTGCTTTTAGTAAAAAGCATTTAACCTTTGAATGGCGAGTCCTAGGCAAACCTAACGGGCTGGGTGAAAGAAGCGAATAATGACGCAGCCTGTATATACCGTTCCTTTTATATTTTATTTCTAAATTTGAATTTAAAAATAGTTTGGAGAAATGTTCGTTGGGAATAGTTATGTTTTAAATGGCCATTTCAACCCCGAATGGAATGGTCATTTTAAACATGGTCATAATGATTATAGCAAAACTTCTTATGAAGTGAATGAGTTGATGATAAATATAGTGATTGTTAATGAATCTTGATGTTTTTAATCCAGTTGTACCATGTTTTAATTTACGCGTACCATTGCATTTTTTTAGAACACAATGAAAATATCAATGTTGCCATAGAGCCTAATATCAATTTGATAACGATACGTCCAGGAACGAAAAACATTCATTAATAACAAAAATTGTTCGTCCTAAAACAAACTTTTTAAGGAAAAATTAATAAAATATTAGGTCTGCATGATTCACACCGATTTCAGTATCACATTTGGATATAGAACTTCAACAGAAATATCAGAAATAGGCAATTCTGCGAATTGAAAAAAATTGATTAGTAACTTTTTTATCTCTTTCGATGATTAGGTATCAACACTGCATGTCAACGAATTAAATAATATAAACATAATTATAATGTGTGTCACACAATTTTATACATAAATAAATTTAATATGATAAAGTTGAATGAACATTGTTAAATCTTTAATTCCTGGCTGCCACACGTTGTGAGGATAATTATGAACATCTGAAAAAGTTCTTATTTCAACTTTAAAATCGCTAATAGGCCTTGAGCAAGGGCATATGCCTTGTGCTAATTTCTCCTCTGTGAGAAGAGGCCTTTGCCCAGCAGTAAGCCCATAAAACCTGGTAGTGATGATTATCAGGTTGCAAAAAGCAGTTAACAGTAAAGCTTTCTTGATTGTTGATGATAAATAGACGACCAATAGGAAATCGTAAAAATGTTACGTAAGCCTGTACTAACAATAAACTATTCCGCCAATATCCAATCCTTAAGAGTCTGCCATCGCATTCTTAAACAGTTAATAAAAACAAATACAGCTAATTCCGTTTTTATATACAATGTTCATTTCATTTACTCGAAGATTTCTGGCATAAAATTAAAGCTTTAAAACAAATAACTATCAAATAAATAAAATCAAGATTTAAGTCAATCACTAATATGCAAAATTTTTTATATTTTTTATTCATTACCCTACGCTGTACCTACGCTTTTAAGGTTTCAACCGACATTTTTCTTTTCCTCAATATAGAAGCATTTTTAAAAAGTCTTCACAAGAAAAGTTTGTGTTTCGGTTAATTAAAACAAAGCCTTCAGATTTATGTTAAGACAAAAAACATTCATAAAATATACAAAGCGGTAGACAAAAAAAAAGGAAAAACTCGACTTGTTTTTAAAACTCCAAAACAATATTTTTTGAGGTTAAATTTGAGATGGAAGACTTAAAAATTCTCGATGAATAGGTAAACTTTTAAGGTTATGTTTTTATTTTTTTCGTTTGTTTGTTTGTTATGGAAGTCAATAAGGTTATCCTTATTGAATGTTTCTTTTGAGAAATTTAAAAATGTAGATTTGTCTTAATTGTATACTAATTGTTGTCTCTATATTTTTGGTATGTTGGGTACAAAACAATAAAGGTTCTTATGTGATTTCATTTTTTGAACGATAAAGAATATGAAAATATTCGTAATTCAGTGTAATTTTCTTCATTTTGATGAAGATGAAGTTGTGAGAAATTATAACAACTACCTAACTTTATAGTCGCTGTTGAATCCATCAAACCACACACGAACGCCGGCATTCGCGCACCTATTGTCTTACTATTGTGTCTCTCATAATAACCAGGATTGAAAGGCGACAAATACCTAATAGTTAAATTCCTATAAGGACCACCATTATCACTATCTCACCCTTTCCTCAAAAGCTAGAACGTCGCCTTTTTAAACGACTTCGAACACCAAATACAAGACGCTCAATTTCATAAATAAAAAAAATAAATTTATGTAACTATTCCTTTTTCAAATTTTCAAATTAATTTTCGATCTACCTACCTAAATAAAAGAATTAGTTATTAAAACTGTAGTCATAATTTACTGTTGTGAGCACTACCCGCACTACAATTTTATCCAGTCATGGTTGTGATTAAAACCTATATACCTATATACCTACCCATAACTACATCATCATCATCATCAACATCGTATAAACCCTAACCAAATCACCCTTTACAAAATTCAGGACAAAATTACCAAAAAAAATCAAGTAGGTACAACAATTATGAATTATAACCAACAAAATAATTTAAAGAAAACGAATTTAATTAATTATTCAAGATGCCAATTTGAAATTTCGACACGACAACGAAAGTAGCTCATTCCAATTTATAAATTATTATATTTGACAAATCAAAATGTTCCGTTTAAAGGTAACCGAGGGACTCTTAATTATTAATTTAATTTATTGGTTTTGAATATTAAATTGAATGGCGTCTTTTTGGGGCCAGCTTTCCTATTGCCCATGTTAATTCTTTTTCAAAATAAAATTAATTGTTTGGTCCTCTTTAGTGGAGTAATTGTCTTCAACAGATTTTTGTTAAGTATAAAAGTCTTAAGGTCTGATTCACTATATCTAATTAAGTTTATACACAGTGTTAATTATGGATCACTAGACGATTATTAAAAAAATATGACATTCATATCGTTAATAAACAAATCATGTGAATCCACAAAGTAATTATTCATAAATCAGAAAGATATAACAATAGCTATCTTTTAATTATTATTACCCATTACCAAGTTATTTTCGCGATAACTGTTACGATAGTAGATAAAATAATATGTTGTTTATTTTTATTGATATGTTAACAATACTATAATTATAACTTATCAGCTGAAACACGAAAACCGTTTCCATTAATCAAAATTGCTATACCTAATTATTTTGTTATTATAAAAAAAATATGTCTTAACCAAAAATAGTTTTTAAATTTAATATCATCCGAAAAAAATAACAACCTGTATGCATAGCATCTACTTTAAAAAAAGAACACAATAAAAACAAAAAATAAACTAATTCGAAATTTCAAACCAAAAAACTTAAAAAGATAAGTTTCACATCAAAAAATTCAAATTTAAACATTAACGTTCTATTCTATTAATACCTACTAATACATTAAAAAATACAGATCGTACTTACATGTTACGTTCACACAAACACAGACACAAACCGCGCGGGTCCCGGGGACGACACGTCCTCCCGACTCGACTCACGGGGGAGGTATGAAATACTGGCCGCTATAGCCGATTCCCCCGAATTTCCGTCAATGTACAGACCTCTCCAGACTATCTGAGTCGCGCGAAGTTAGTTACCGGTTGCCGGGATTTATACGCATCGAATTATTGTGGTAATATAGACTGCATTTAAGATGGTAATATGGCATCAAAAGGTATATAAATAATAAATATTGGTACAGATTTAAATACATGTAAGGTTGGCTAATGATGGCTTGTGTATATATTACTACCTACACAGTATATAACAAAGACGCTTTCTCTGTCTCTCTATCCCTATGTGCCTAACTCTTTAAAACTCCGCAACAGATTTTGATGCGGTTTTTACTAGGTAGAATAATTGAAAACGAAGGTTGATAAATATGTATAATACTTTCATTAAAATAGTGGGGAAAAGTATTATTAGAGTTATAAATACAGGCTTTAGAAAAACACCGTTACTTATATTATACAAGCTTTTGCCCGCGACTTTGTTCCAGTGGAATAGTGAATTCCTGCAGATTTTTGGTTTAAAAACTATCCTATGTCCTTTCTCGAGTTACTACTGTTCCAAACTATGTCTGTACCAAATTTCACACGAATAGATTCAGTAATTTAGGCGTGAAGAAAATACAGACAGAAAAACAGAGTTAATTTCGCATTTATAATATTAGTTTGGATTTGAAACTAACAGAAAAATCCACAAAAAAGTTTTATATGCACAAAAAGCACAATGGCTTATGGAAACAAAAAAAAATTATACCTACCAGTGATAAATTACGTTGGAAACATCATCTTTTGAGTCATCGACTTTACAACGACTATCAAAATATAGATAGACCTATAATCAAGCTACATTATGTAGGCACCTACCTACATTGATTATATCTATACCAATACCATAAGCTGATGAATTTGTTTTATTTTGATCGCGCTAATCTCAGTAATTGCTGGTTCGATTTGAACTATTATCTTTGTCTTGGAAATACTACTTATCGAAGAAGGCTATAAGGCTATAAAAATATCACGGTACGAAAAAAAGTTGAAAAGCAAATGGAGTAGCTAGTTATGATTTAAACATTAAGAAAAGTGTAATTATGTTGTTCCTTGCACGCTGACAGTGCATATTAATGTATATCTGTGTGATTTTTTTTGCAATAAACCAAAACCTTCCATCAGTTAGTTGTACTTTTTGTACTATTATTGTTTTTTTTGGTATAAGCCGGCAAACGAGCAGACGGATTACCTGATGGTAAGCAATCGGCGCTGCCCATGGACACCCGCAACACCAAAGGAGTTACGAGTGAGGTGCCGGCCTTTTGCGGATATAAGGATCCGGAAGGGATAGGGGAATGGAAGGGATTGGGCTATTGTTGTTTTAAGTCTTACTACTTACTTAAAAAATGTGTTCCTGATTTGTAGCAATAGTATTAACATGTGTACAAATAGAGGTCCTTTAAATAAAATAAAAAAAACTTTCTAATTATGTAAAGAAACTCCTTTTTTTACGTAATTTCAATAAAAAAAATACTCTCTTTCTCTCTGTTTTCTTTCTCTCTCTTTCTCGTTGCGCCATAAAAAATCGCGCGTCACAATCAATCTGTAGGTACCACTTCAATGGAGAGTGGTCGGCCCGGGGTGAATGACTCGTGATAAGATTGTGTTGGCCGGATGAGCAACATTTGACAACAGGATTGATCACACTAATTACTCCCGTTATAACACAAGCAAGGAACTCCAAATATTAATTCTAATTATCTTGAAGACGGAACCATTTGTCTTATCATGTTTGCCCCAGGTAAATTTAGGTGGAGATTGGCTGTTAAGTAAAATAAGTTTTTACATGTGTGATGTTAAAGTTGAAGTTGCTTAAAAGTTCTTTGGTATTATTGTTATTTACTAGCCTGGGCTTGGCCTGAGTGGTATGTTGATAATAAGCCTTAAAAGTGTTAATTCAGGGTATCAACTATCTACATAACAAATTTCAGCCAAGTCCGTCCACCTGTTTTTGCGTGAAGGAATAACAAAGATACAAGCATACATTCTCTCAAATTTTCACATTTATAATTATGTACTTATTAGTAGGAAGCAGACTGACAGGAAGAACCGTGCGCTAAGGTCGCTTAGGCTTTATTACAGGGCATAGTTTAAAAAAGTCCAGGTTTATCAGAAAGAGCCAAGTCTGTCTTTTGTTACGACAACAGAAGATAACCAATTAAATTACTCAAAAACCCCAATCATTAAAAAGGTTTCTTCTGGCAATATTGTTAAGCATAAACTTAAATTGAAAAATAAAACAGATAACCTGTTGTCATTGTATAGTCAAAATGTTCAGGGCTTAGCATCAAAAATCCTACAAATTGAATTGTTTTTAGAAAAGTTCCAATATGACATTATTTGTATAACTGAACATTGGTTAAAAGATTATCAAGTAGAATCAATTAACTTCAATAATTATTGTGTTGGCAACTATTATAGCCGCAAAGAAATGATACATGGTGGTAGCTTGATTTTAGTAAAGAATTCAATAAAATATAAAGAAAGGCAAGACATTGCACTGCTATCAATTGAGCACTCAATAGAGTTGTCCTGTGTTGAACTGGATAGGCATAAAAAAGAAAGAAATTGTAGTATGTGTTTATAGGCCTCCTAACATACAGAATTTAAATATATTTTGCTCAGTAATGGAAGATATATTACAGAAAACGTGTTCTAGTAATAAGTATACAATAGTATGTGGCGATTTTAATGTTGATCTCTTAGAAAACAACTCTTATTGTACAAACTTATTAGGTCTTTTTAAATCTTTTGATCTGTCTAATATATTCCTGGAGCCTACCCGAGTAACATCCACCTCGGCAACTTGTATAGATAATATTTTTTGTAACTGTGATTATTTACATAATGAAATTGTAAACAGATTACCATCTGATCACAGTGGGCTAACAGTCAACTTTAATACTTTTAAAACTGTGGCAACTAAGGAAATTATATTCAGACAGATAACAAACAAAAAAATTGAGTCATTAAATAAAATTTTAAAACATAAATTATGCAGCCCATTACAAGACAATGAATGCCCGTGTGAGATCTATGCTAACTTATTATCCATCATAAAAATACAGTTCGACAAAATGTTCCCTTTAAAACGTAAAAATATCCAGTGTAAATTTTTATTCTGTGACTGGGCTACACCAGGCATTCGTATAAGTAGAGAAAAGTTATTTGAGCTATATGGCATGAAACCATTTAATAAAAGTGAGGCTTTTCGTAGGCATGTCTCCAAATATTCAAAAATATTTAAATTAGTTTGTAAGCATGCTAAATCACTCTATATTAGCAGTAAAATCCGGACCGCGGAAAATAAAATAAAAGCTACCTGGAGTATAATTAATAATGAAACAGGTAGGAACAAATCTAATAAGACAGAATTTAATTTAAAAACCGAAAAGGGATTTACTAGTACAAATTCATTAGTTGCCCAGGAATTCGAAAATTTCTTTAAAAATATTCCCATCAAAACTACGGAAACGTTGCAATCATCTCCAGCACTTGCGGTCGAGCTTCTCAGAAGTAACGTCAAAGAATGTCCTGCGGACTTTAGGTTTAAACATACAAACCCCCAGGAAGTAATAAAGGCGTTTAAAGATATCAAAGTAAAGTCCAGTGAAGATCTCTGGGGAATGTCTGTTAGAGTGTGCAGGTCTTTTATAGAGACTATAGCGCCTTACTTAACTTTAATTTTTAATAAAAGTGTAGATCAAGGGGTTTTCCCGGATTTAATGAAACATAGTAAAGTAGTTCCATTACTTAAATCAGGTGATAGCACAGAACGCAATAACTATAGGCCGGTCTCTATTTTGCCAGTGCTCAGTAAAGTGTTTGAAAAGTTGATACTTACTCAAATACTGCGTCACTTTAACGCGAATTCTATTTTCCATGACCAACAATACGGGTTCACTAAGGGACGTTGCACTACGGACGCAGGAGTATCGCTTATAAAACAAGTTTTCAAATCGTGGGAAAAAGCACAGGATGCCATCGGAATATTTTGCGATCTTTCGAAGGCCTTTGACTGTGTTGAGCACGAAACGCTATTACTGAAGCTGCAACACTACGGCATTCGGGGGGTATCCCTAAATTTATTAAAATCATACCTTCTAGAAAGACTTCTTACAGTACAAGTAAACAGAGTAAACTCCCACGGTGCTAGCGTATCTATGGGCGTACCGCAGGGCTCAATATTGGGTCCATTCCTATTTTTGGTTTATGTCAATGACCTGCCCCATTTATTCCAAAGTGAACCGCATATGGTATTATTCGCTGATGACACATCCTTGATTTTTAAATTAAATAGACGATCAAATAACTATGACGAAGTGAATAATGCCTTAACGAAAGTTCATAATTGGTTCACAAAAAACAACTTAGTACTTAATGATAAAAAGACGAAATGCATTAGATTTATTTTGCCAAATGTTAAAAGTAACGTATGCGATGATATATTATTAAATGGTCAGAAACTGGAATTTGTAAAGGAGACCACATTCTTGGGGATTACTGTAGACGACAAGCTGCAATGGGGGCCCCACATTAGATCTCTAGCAGGGCGGTTGAGCTCGGCAGCTTATGCTGTCTGGAAGATCCGTCAGCTAACCGACGTAGGCACGGCAAGACTAGTGTATTTTAGCTACTTCCACAGCATCATGTCGTATGGAATTCTGTTGTGGGGACAGGCATCCGACGTTGAGTCTATCTTTATCTTACAAAAGCGTGCAGTCAGAGCTATCTATAACTTAGGTCGTCGCGAATCTCTCAGAGAAAAGTTTAAGGAGATCAACATTATGACCGTACCATGTCAATATATTTATGAAAACATTATGTATGGAAAAACCTACAGCTATTTGTAAAAGTATCTGACAAGCATGACTATCTTACTAGACATAGAAATAGATTAAGTCAGCCTTTATTTAGATTAGCAAAAGTGCATAAGTCG